CTGTTAAACACAGGGAGAAAAGAACAATGAATGATGCAGACAATGAAGCGAAAGAATAAACCTGGTGTGGAATTTCTTCATTTCCTAATGATTATATATTCACGGATAAAATTAATTACTTATGGAAATAAAGACTTGCCAATGAGACGTTTATTGTCCTAACCACTTGGGTTTTCTTACAAACTGGTTAACGGGACCATATTTTCTATACTATTTGCAGATTCAAGTCCCTCTGAATGGACAAAGACATCTTAGAAAATGATGACTTTGATTAACAACGCTTTTAATAATATATTAATGAAATAATGTCGAGATCAATTTTCACTGGATGTCGCTCTTCAGTGACTCGCCAAGAAGAGATAGCGACTTGATTCGTTAAAGATGCAAAAGCAGATGAATATATATATATATATATATATATATATATATATATATATATATATATATCAATATCAATATCAGAAGAAGAAAAAGAAGAAATTGATTTAGTAGTCAGTGTGTTTGACTAGAGGCTGTGAATATCGTTAAGACCTGAAGTGCAATTTTACTGTAAAACGTATTTAAAAGAATATAAATTCAGGCCCGACTTTATTAAATTCTACTCGAGTTAGGTATATATGAATAAATTCACATATTTTTCAAAAGTAAAACAATGGAAAGAGTGAATATGTTTTTGATGAGAACCAAAACAAACAAACAAATGTGGTTAGCAGACATCATCTGAAAACACTGCCCTCTGTTTTTCATATCTGCTGATGCTACTGTTGAAGACTTACTGTAATTTGTCTTTCTTTATTTGTGGCTCCTATATTGTATTTATTTCCATACTAAGCCTACTTCATAGCCTAGCACATACGCTGATTTGGTCAGACGTCTAACTCTCCAGTATTCCATATCCAGTATTTTCACTTAGTTCCACAGGAGCTGATGACTACCCCTTTCCCTCTATACATGATCAGCCACGCCCAAGTCCATTGTCTTACCCCATAATGTTACTCCAGCATTACGTTTAGGGGAGGCTTGTTTCATTTTCATGTTTTCTGCCATAACTGCAAGGAATCGAATACATGCAATAATTCTTGGTCATGTTCTCCTTGGTGTTAGGCTTTACTCGGCAGAGATTTCCCCGTAGAATGGAATTGCCTTTGAATATTGTTCTGATATTCTGATGTTGTATAAACCAAAGATCTTCTGAATCTTTTCCGATAAGACCTTGACGTAAGGTAGCCAGGCCGTGACAATTTTATGGTCATCCTCTTTATCCTTTCTTTTCCTAGCTTGTCGGGTAGTTGTTATTCTGAAGGGTACGTTTGACATTTTTTTACAGTGTAGCTTTCATCTCTAAACTGGATCCCCACACAATGCTTGTGTACTTGATGGTATTCCTACAATAGTCCTTGAGATATGTGTTCCTGAACTTATCCTGTTCTTTCTAAACTCTACTCCTTCCTTTTCTGCTTGCAGAAAATCCTCTTCTTTGGTTCCAAGAACAGGCGAACTATCTGATCCTTCTAACTATTAGTCTGTTAGCATTCTATCTCTTTTTGGCAAAGTATTAGATGCTCTAATTAATTTTTTATCTTTATTTTATTTTCCTTAACGAGACATGTTTAAACAAAACCAAAAAGCACACAAAATCTTCAGAAGGTAAGAGAATTATTTCAAACGAAAATAACTTTAAAATTTGGAATGAAATCGAAAATCGAAAATCGTAAAGAAATGAATAAAAACTGAAATGAAAATCAATAATTTGTCAGATGAAAGAATACTGACTAGTTTTCTTTTTTCATGAAAGTCACAAACGAGAAAGTTAATCCGAATAGCCTTGTTTGATTTTACGAGTTTGAGTTGGAATTGTTTGCAAATTAAACATTAAAAAAGCTCTGGCGTTTCGTCCAATTTCTTAAAACTTGAAGTGAAATAGAATAGCATAGATCGATATACCGTATGAAGAATATTTAAAAACGATTTTAAGAACGACAATAGCGATTAAATTAACCAAGTAGCAATAAGTTAGCATTTTAATTTCATATTCAATAAACAAATGAATATATGAATGGCAGAAACGAATTTTCGCTAGTTTTTATTCGTAGTGATGATGATGATGGTGATGATAGTGAAAATAAGAGAGAAAATCTGATAAATACAGGAAAATGAGAGAAAATACTGAGAATAAAAAGAAAAAAATTTCAAAAATTTTGATTAGATTTCATTTCATCATAATTGTAGTTATTTTTAATCTCAAATTCTAGATCCTAAATAAACAATGCAGATCGAAATCAGCGATAAAGCTTTTGCTAAGATTCGATTTCGCATCGCTTTCTCTCTAAACGAATGTCTCATCTCAATCGATTGGGCCAAGAAAACAAATCTATACGTATAACCAATCCTTATCTTCCCAGACTGCCTGATATGTTACCCTTTTTATTTACATACAATATTAGTAGTACATTTTAAAATTCTTCAATGAAATCATGTTCCCTACAATTTTTCTGCTATGATTCATTTGAATATTTGCAATTGTTGATAGAACCGAATAGTAACGGATTAGATTAAAGCGTTAAATCTCTAGGCGGGATTATCTGATGTGCTAACTCGAAAAATGCATTTTATACCTTCAAGATTAGCTATGCAGTGTGTAGATTTGATGAAAAAAAGAGAAATTTCAATCTTAGAAGACAAACTTTCCAGATTCTCATAATAGAATGACAACGCCGATACACTAATTAAATACGGTATCTGTCCTTCTATGTTTATATATTAATCTTAGTAATTTTGCTGAGTTGATATTACTAGACGTTTATTAATAACAAATAAGTATTTTTGACTGACATCCGATTTTTGTTGCCCTAATTTGAACTTTTCTATTCTCTACATTCAATGCACATATAGAGTTTGTTGATATTAATAATGCTTTCTTTTCGTTATTAATAGTAAAGCACCAGCAAACCAAAAGTTAGTTGGAATCTCAAAATGTTTGCTTGATTGTTTTTTGTTGTTTTTTTTTTGTTTGTTTAATTAATGCTATTCTATAAGGTCAATTGCCTATGGCATCATAATGACAACTCATCTCCTTCATATTCTGATCTACAAAAGTTCCTGCTCAAGTAGAAGGCAAATTCGAATTGATTTTACCTCCTACGTGACGAATTTAACCGCATTATAGTATTTTCAGGTTCTAAACAAGTTAACATTGTATGGAAAGCTAATTTATTGATGCTTAAATAAAAATCCGCAAATTTCTAAAGCCATATTTTACGTTTTTTTCTTTTAAATGTAAAACAAATGATCATGGAGTTGTTTGCGATAAGGATTTTCTTTTCTTCTTTCTTTTTTGCATTTTTAAATTTGTTGCAATCTTGCACAGATACTTGTTTATAGTTACAATAACAGCTTCGTGGTTGATATAGAACCAATTCGGTCTTTATGTTAGTCGAAAAAAAGAAATAAATGATTATCGGTTATTATTCATATTAATTCGATTCTCCAAGATGATATCCAGATCTTTTAATTCTGCGATGGTTTAAATAAAAATATTCTTTAAATATGTTTTTTTGACATTTACAGCGATGAATGTCTGTTTATATTAAATCTATTGAACTAAACACTTCAAATTTTAAATTAAATTCTTAACTTTATATTATTTCATGAAACAAGATTTTGCATTTGTATGCACATGAATAATTCTCTAATTATGTTGGTAGAAATTGGCGATAAACGCTTCAGCTGTATCTGAGATGACCTATAGAATTATTTTTCACCAACATGATCAAGGAAGACAGAACAAATGTCATTTTAAAGCCGCATTTATTCAACATGATTCTCCAATCAATCCACACATTTCGTTTATCAATTTAGGAGTGGAATATCCAAAAATAAATTTTTCTATGGATTCTCATTTACAAACATTAAGCTAACGTAACAAAAATCTCAATGAAAAGAGCCACTAAGTCGGTGAGACTCATTATCAAATGATATTCTTGATGAGGACATCTATAATCAGTTGTTTTTACTAAAAGTAAAAAGCGTTAAAAATAAACAGTGGGAAAATCGTTCATGATACAAATCATTAGGGAAGAATTAAAAATAGATTTAAAGCAAAACAAAATTAAGTCACTTAGTCCTCAGAAAAAAAGTGATTTTTTAAAACATCTTGATTAGATATACTATCAATATAAGAAAAACACAAAAAAGCACCAATTCTGCTTTCCTCTGTTGACAAAATGAATGCTAAAAGGCTACACGACAATTTTGGCCAGTGATGTGACAAAAATAAGCAATGAAAAGTACAAATGAGATCGGAACATGACACAAATTGATGGCAGCTGTCTCTCTATTATTATACATGGATCTTTAGAAAAATGAAATCTCTGAAATGAAGAGAAAGAAAAAGGAAAAGAAAAGAAAACTTTCCCAAAGGCAACATGAGTGAACTAAATCTGGAACGAAGCCATTTTAACTGATTAAAAGAAAAGAGGGAAAAATGAAGAAAAATTAAAAAGGGAAATAAAAAAGACGATAAAACGAAAACTAAAGATCACTACAGAAAGAGAGAGTGGTAGAAGGTGGAATATCACTTCGATGTGATTTTAGAAGAACTGAGATAAGTAAATTAAAACTGATGAAACTATTAAAACAATTAAATAAAACATACAGAAAATAAAAAGCAAGGTAGGTGTATATGAAAGATAAAAGAATAAGACATGAAAGGAAATAAATACGAAAATGTGCAGAAAAGTAGAAATGAATGTGGGAAGAAAATATGAAATCGAAAGCAGAAACAAACAAGAAAATTCTGACATTCTCGAAGTTTCAAATTATCTCCCTTAGTCTTATTTTAATTAATGTTAGGACTTCATGCATTCTGTTAATGTTTAAATAGACAAGGTGAAGCAGTATTTTTAAACCAGTAAATTTTTCTTATAGGATAGATTGTCTAATACAATAAGACTTGTCATACGAACTAATGTATATCGGGAAATATCCTTTATTGTATGCACTTCTCAAGATAGATAGATAGATAGATAGATAGATAGATAGATAGATAATTCATATTTGGGGAGCGCTAATTTTCGAACATTAGTATTCCACGGTGCCTGGGTGATTGCCCAATTTCTGAGGATCGAACTCAGTAGTTCAATCCTCAGAAATTGGGCAATAACCCAGGCACCGTGGAATACTAAATACCTACACACACACACACACACACACACACATATATATATATATATATATATATATATATATATATATATATATATATATATATATAGATAGATAGATAGATAGATAGATAGAGAGAGAGAGAATGTCTGTGAGTGTATATTGAGAGAGAGAGAGAGAGCGTGAGACGGATGAATCCTGATATAGATAAAAGATGTCGTTATATATTAAGTAAATGTAGAATTTTTTGACAAAATCTGTTTTTATAGGGTAAAGGCTCAATCATTTTTGTTTTTGAAATCTGTCAATTTGTTATGGCGTCTCATCCAACTTTAATTTTAATGCTCACTTTGGAATGGAGAGACATCAACGAAACAACTGCAATTGATAATTATTCTTGAAAAATACATAATCATGTTTTGAATTTTTCAACTGTGATAAATCTCCTTATTTTTACATTGAGAAAAATTAATTGTTCTTATTAAATGGATCTTTCTGAATGAGATACGCACAGAGAATCGCAAATCATATTCTCTCTCCACCTATGAAAATAGAACCCAACCAATGTTTAAAGAAGAATAACCCTAAAAACGTGACAGTTTCTTCGTTCTCTTGTGTCAAATAATTATGCTACATGGATGTATGCATGTATGTATGTATGTAATTCCTTCGTAAATAGTGACATAGATGTAGGTGACATATGCTGACAGAAAAAAAAATGAACACTCTGAAAGACGATGCCATTTTTGACATGAATATATTATGAACATGTTTGATATTTTCATAAACTTTTCAAGGACTCAAAACAGTCAATGTTTATACGTAATACAATCAACGATATCTTTCAGTGTTATGAAAAACTGCAATTCAAGAATGTGCCATGCTACGAAGCTTCATAATGTATTCTATTTGTTAGGGCTATTTGAGAGAACAGCTGCGCATATTGGACGGGAAATGTTGATGGGGCTTCGATATTATCAAGTGTGGTCAAATGATATATTTCTACACCGCTAGACCAGCTTCTATACGCCAACGTGGTAAAGTTTCTTGCCAAGAATGACACATTGCAATGGTAATAATTATCCACAACACGTGCAGCATCACAAACCGCTGTGTATTATTTACTTGTAGATGGATTGCGGATACAGATATTTATGCTCAGACATTCCAGCACTGTTGTGAACACCTGTGGGATCGAATCCCATAAAAAACAAGCCTAACGCAAGCTATTATCTTTCTACAAGATTAAATAGTGCACATGGTTTAGGGTACAATAACTTTCAACTCTGTCTCGCCTTTGGTGTTTGTGGAGCATTGAAGGTGCCATATACGTCCGTAATATTGATAAACCTGTTCTACTACCATTCTTGCAACCGTAAGGCATTGTTCTGTTCCATGTGGATAATGCCTGCTCACATGGTGGCCGTGGTACTAAACATACGTTGAAAGAAGTTCGCTAATTCCAATATCTAACATAATCACGAGATCTGGCTTCACTCCAACACGTATGTGACCAGGTGTGACAACACATGACTCGTTCAGTTGACTCACATCAAACCTTTAGCTGTGTTGCGTCAACAGGTAAAAAAAACTTGTAATAATGTATTGCAGGATGGCAGTCTCCAGTTCCAGGATCGTTCGCATGCGTGTGTACAGACTTGCGTTAACGTCCATGGAAGATAAACAGTGTATTAATAATGTGGTCTAATTAATGTTGATACACGTCTTATTTGGGCACCTGTGCACATATTGATCTGTAGATATGATTATTTACTGTAATCTATAAATACTTTCATGTACGCTTAATTTTGAGGATTCAATTTGCTGCAATTATATATACCATCACTGTATTTTTTACTTTCTGAATTAAATCAATGACTTCTGCGTGGAGCAAATGGAATAATATATGCAATATTTAATCTTTTAACATAATGCCTGGAAATGACAGGTGAAAATAATGGGAAATAAAAAAAAATATAAAGTTATTTAAATAAAAATACACTGTTGATATCCTTTTGTGTGTCGTTTCCTTTCCAGACTAGAGCAGACATAGTTCTCCACAACTTTCAATCCATCGTAGCTCTAAGTAATATTTCCCTCTTATTATCCTCCCCCCCCCCAGATCATGTACTGCTATTCCTTTACACAAGCTTGTTAGGTAGATTACTCATTGTTTTCCTCTTCCTCTCTTGCCGTCTTGTCAGTGTCTTAATAAAATCATCATTTGTGTGTGTGCGTGTGTCAGATCTCCCAAACACTCTTTTTCTTTATGGCTTTCAGAAATTTCACCAGACTATTTATGATACTAAGTATGAGTTTTCTTTTTATTCTCATTTTCCTTACATCTTCCTTGTTGCTCACATATTTCGTCTATGGCATTCCCTTTTGTAGAATCACATCTCTGTAGCCTAAAATGTCTTCTTCATTTAATTTAACCGCTACATTTGTAAATTTAGCAAAATTGTGATACCTATTTAATACAAATATTTAGTTGATCCAAAAGTTTTGATTACAACCATTTGTACAATGTCAGCGAAATATTATTGTGTCTATGCATAATGTTTAAGAAAAGTTTACAGGAAAATAGTCACTTTACTTCACTTTGGGGAATCAAAAAGCCAGGCCAAATGACTGAATATAAAATACACATTTGGCGCTGTTTACTGATGCTGTTTATTTTAATGAAAAGTTCAACATTGAGTATCTCTGAAACCTATGATAATGAGGGAGTTTTGTTTTAAGAAAATGCAGTCCAAACAACTAGTGACGTTGAATAAAATTAAATATCAACTTGTTTTTATGATGCCCTCAAATAAGAAAGACAAAATGCTAACAAGAAAATTGCCTGGTGCATTTGCTGCATCAAATCCCTATCTCTGCCCCCCCCTCCTCCGCCTCATTACAAATGCCATGGAGTTAGGATGGGAGCTTCTGCTACATGCAATCTATTGTCAAAACTTAAGACAATCACTTGCTTTTCTTGTCTGGTTAGCACATTAATAACCTAATCGAATTAAAAGCAAAAGAGCAGAGAAAGCATACGAAAATGATTACTGAATAATAATACTAAACATTTATATAGATAAAAGATTTTCTCAAAAATGTGCCACAACAATCTAATACAAGAATTCAGCATAATTACGCATTTATACTTGTTAAAGAAACAGTTTTCCCAAGTATATTAATTCATTAGGTCTTGAAATATTCTTCGATAGGACCTTCAAATATTTTCATTCTGAACTTGCAAATTTAAATATTGATGAAATATTCACGATTGGTAGAGACGCAATATTATCAGTGCCGTTAAATCATATTCTCTTATACATGGATTTTCATCGAACATTTGTGAACATTACTCTCTCAACTTGGAATTTGCAATTTTCTTTTCTATTTCAGTCCTATATAATGTATTTTACATAGTTTTAAAAGGATATTTGAAATTTTATTTGCACCAAACGTTAATTGTAATGCATACAGAAAAATATTATACAAAAGGTAATGAAACATAAACTATCGTTTTTCCATACACTGACATACAGGTATTGCACAGTCATGAAGAGCAGCTCTTCAATTGGTATGAAGGAAGTTGTGTGTAACCCTGTGTAAAATAAGGGAATAAAAAATTATTCTTATTTGTAGTTGATTTGTTTTAATAGTTAGAACTTCAAAAGAAATAATTGACGAACCGATTTCGAATTCGTTACCTTCACTTTCCCATAAATAATTCTCCCCAAACTATGGGTTAAATAGACGGAAAGACACTTTGGTTGGTGAGCAGTATAGAAGAAAGAGAATTAAATCAATACCCTATGTGACCATAATTGGGCGCATCTTTAACTGTAACTAAGATCTGCTGAGTATATTTGCTGTATAAATACACGTGTTGAAGAATCACAAATGGCCCTGAGCAGAGAGCCATGCTCGAAAACGAGTAGCCATGCTGAAGATGAGAAATCCTATGGATTTTCAATTCACATTCAAGTCGAAATATCTCTGATAATTCTTATTTGTTTTTTACTGACATTTAAAATGAATTAAAAGTTTTCTAAAATCCCGTTATTTTCGCAAGCTGTTTTAAATGATGCTCAGATTTTTTATTCATTTGCCGAGGTGTGTATATGTGCATGTGTGTGTGTGTGTGTGCGCGCGCGCGCTTTCAGCTTTTGACTGATAATTGATATTGGTGCCCGGTAATTTACCGGTATTTGTTGTTAATAGCCAACATTACAATGCTTTAACTCTATTGGTAGCTACGACAAGGAAAGGAGAAAACATAAACAGAAGAACAAAGCTACAAGTTAATAATACTGTTGTATTTAAACAACAAAAGAAACTATGCCTGAACACAGCTGGACAGACGCTGCCTTTAACATTACTTACAAGCGAACATACATGCATATACAGGAAAATGTTGCCCATCTACATACATGAGTATGAAAGAACCTTTAACAGTTCGTATATACCAAACTCAATATACAAAGACGTTATTAAATACAAACGTACACATGCGAAAAGATTGGCTTTCCGTCTAATTATATACACGAATCTATTCACCCGTACACAAAAACGCTCTAGAGGCTTTTGGGTTAGCATCTAAAAATTTGAAATAATGTATGTATGAAACTTCCATGATGACCATTACGCATATACTCATTGAATCACATGTTTGTAAACTTATATATACTTGCACATATGTTCATTTCGTACTTTATAGAATTTCGTTTATTTGAAAATGAGGATATAAATTCAATATCAATTCACATGTAAAGGGCCATATGAATACAAGCACTAGTATATATATATATATATATATATATATATATATATATATATATATATATATATATATATATATATATATATATGATTAGTAATTTGGGGATTTGTATA